GTGTCATCTCTTCTTCTTTCCACACTTATACGAGTAACAACTAATACATGTTAATTAGTTTATCATATTGATTCTATGGCCTTGGGGATTCCCAACAAAAATTTATGTTGTCACAGTAAATAACGCTGGCTGCGTGGATTTTTATCAGGTTATGTGGCTTCGCAGGTCGCCCCAGCCTAAAATGGGTATCAGGTTGTATGTTCTTGGGAAGTAAAGACGGCCGGCGTAATGCTGACCACATTGCCTACCTAGCGTCGATTGGTCTGTAAAAAAATATGAGTGCTATCCCATATTCTCGATGCGCCTGAGGCGTGAAAATGAATCTTTACTTTTTACCCTTTTTTATACAGTAAATAATGTTCTCTGAAATGCCCCAACCACTGACTGTTAGCTCGAATTGTTATGGTAAATAGTGGTGATTTTAACAGAATATGAATTTTGTTTTTCCCTCTCATTCTCCTTTGTGTGCAGTTTTGATGGGTTCAAAGATATTTAGATTATCAGCTACACAATGCGACAAGGATTACTTTAATTGTTTTTGAACTTCCAGTTGGACTAAATTGTGCACCAGGAATTTTCATGGGAAGTTAATGTGATATTGGCCACCCGCCCACCAATAGTAACCGGTCTTTTCAAAGATGTGTACAACACCATATTACGACTCTTCTTCTTCGCGTTCACCGGCCGTGAACTCCGGCGGAAAGTTCTGGTTGTATGTCCACTTCTGGACTGCAGTCCTGTTCCAGAGCCTAAGTGTTGCGTTTGCATCCATTTGACAGATCTGTATGCAGACTTTTGGTTCCTTGTCTCTCAGGCAGATGCACTCCGACTTCGAAGGAAGCTCCCAATTAATTAGTCGACTCTTACGACATGCTTTTGGGTAGGCAGTGGGTCTATTCTTGTTTTTTCCATAGTAGGGCCCCGGAACCCACACAGAGGATTACGACTGTGAATCCTTGACAATTAATAAACAAGCTAAACAGTCTCTTGAGGCCTCGAAGATATGGCTTTACTGAAGAATCCTTAGAATTCCCTGACAGCCAAAAAGAACAACCTAGATATTTTGAAAGAGGCGAGGACTCCAAGACAACTTATTACAAACATCAGAGAGAGAGAGAAAGAGAGAGAGAGAGAGAGAGAAAGAGAGAGAGAGAGAGAGAGAGAGAGAGAGAGAGAGAAAGAGAGAGAGACAGACATCATTATTTTGTTATATTATGAGAGTAAGGCAACTGGAATATGATGTGACCATTGGAAGGATCTGTGGAACAAGATGATTTTTGACGTCTGATTGTCATGAGATAGGGAGGTTTCAACACACGATCTGACACATGCTGTTAAAAATTTACAAATTGAAGAAGCGTTAATGCCCATTTAGAGCCGCTGTGGTCAAGCGGCTACGGCTAAATGCTCGCCTGCCAATCGGAAGGTCGACGGTTCGGTTCCTGCAGGGCTCAGACTTTTTTCAAAATGACCTTGGCTCCCAGCCTGTAGTGGGTACCAGGTACAGTCTTGGGAAGTAAAGGTGGCCGGCGTGATGCTGACCATATCATCCACCAGGTGCCGTTAGTTTATAAAATATAGTCTAGCCCTTTATACCAAATACGCTTGAAAGGGGTGGAAAAGGGTCCATACTTATTTTACTTGAATGCCTATGCTAGTCGGCAAGGCACTTGATGATACGCTTAACATACCTGATGGCACCATTACTTTGTATGCACCTACACAGAATTATAGTCACAACAGTGAACAAATATGCAAAGAAAAAACAACTAATAAAATAAAGCAACTACAAAAACTTGTATAAAAGAATTTATTTAAATAACATTGCTAAAAACCAACCAGCATCTTAAATGCAACAACTAAGAGTACAGCATAAACCTGACATAATTTTCCTCTCCTTCTTCACGCTCACCGACTGTAAACTCTGGCAGAAAGTTCTGGTTGTTCATCCACTTCTAGACTCTAGTCTTGTTGCATAGCCTGAGTGTTGTGTGCACATCCATTTCACAGATCTGACTCATTTGTGTCCAGACTGTTGGTTCCTTGCCTCTCAGGCAGATGCATTCTGACTTTGAAGGAAGCTCAAAATTTGTCGATTCCTAGGACATCCTTTTGGGTTGGGTCTATTCTTGTTTTTCCCATAATAGGGCCCTGGAACACACACAGGGAGACATCATTTTCAAGACTGCATTAATTTATCTGATAAAACATTCAGGTCTCATTCCTCTTCCCCCCCCCCCCCCCCCCCCCCCCCCCCCCCCCAATCTTTGAGACATTCTGCATCTCAAATATATCCTGACAACTGTCACTGGTAAATTACAGTGTGCATAACGCACATACTCTTCATAACTATTCAACCCATTTTATCAAGAGGATGTCTAAACAATCAAAGAGGGACAGCTGGCTAAATGAACAGAATGTTAGACTCTCAAGTGAGAGACCCTGTTCAACCCAGTAAGGTGATAGAAAATTTGTCTGTTGGGGGCAAAAATAAACATCATTACCTGCAGTATTTGTAGCAACTGCACTAGTCATACGGCTTTAAATTATCTGGCTTAGTGGTGGGGCATGGGAACTAATTGGTCAGTATTAGGCTGCCGAAAATCCACAATAATAACACAAAGAAGCACTGCAAAGCCTTAAAGTAACAGTTTGATGTGATGTGGGAAATTCTCATTTCGCCAGTCCCTATTATTATTTATTTTATGGGGTTACCATTGCTGTAACATCTGAGCATTAGACTGAGTTAGTGAACACATGTTTTATCCCTGAGTTACAAAGAAGAGTCATTGATCAACAACATTTGTGGCTTCAGCAAGATATGGTGTTGCCACACACTGACAAGAGTGTTAATGGGTTTACTTTGCCTCCTGTTTCCCTTTTTCTTTTTCGCTTCCACCTTGTACCTCAGTGAAGTGTCGGGGGAGATGTAGTATTCGTTGATGAGCTCTGTCAAGAGCACTGTTAAGACTGATGTTCATTTCTGTAAAGCTGTTTTCAATGCTACCACTCCATATTTTCCGAGGCCGACCTCTGTTCTATACGTTTCAGTGCGGCTCGCTGTCTCCCAATTGTCTCATTTCAAGATTTGATGAAGTTTTACGGCAACCTTGGTCACCAGACCTGCCCACATGTAATTTCTTTAAATAGGGATTTTTCAAGTCACATGCCTACGTGGGAAAAGCTCATACGTCAGATGAAATGAAGGACGCAATCTGTAAACAAGTCACTCACATCAACAGAGAACTGCGGGAAAGAGTGGGGGCAAACTTTGATGAACGCCTTCAACAAGCATCAATAAAAATTACATCACATGCCAGGCGTAAATTTTCTATTCATGATTATTATGAAATGCTCTGTTATTTCATGTTTTCCTATGAGAAAAAAAAAATGTTGGTAGCAATAAATACCCATTTAATGATTTTTTTTTGGTACACTTGGCTCCCGAGCCCCACCCTGTTATAGACAGTCACAACATTTATACAATCAAAGGCAATATTTCTATTGTCCACTGAAACAAGTCAAAGAATTATAGCTTTGAATTTCCTAATGCTCAATGATCTCGAACAATGTCAATAATAATGGCAGTTACAAATTATTATTTTTTTAATGCCACCTTTTAACAATACAGAACAATGAATATGCATATTTACACATCTACTGTCAAATGTTTAATTTGTGTCATTTCCACAATGGAGGTTGAATGCCATGGATAGATGCATTCACTGGTGCTTTAAGAATGGTATGTGGTGAGACCGCAGCCACTTCCCTTGTGTGAACTTCTGACTACTATCAGAAAGCAACAGTCTTATTCTAATCTGCCCACCATGGATACGGAACTTTGGTATGTTAAAGAAACGTATACACTAATCTTTCAGTACCAGGATGTTTCCCAGGAGATGCCAAAGTGAAGAAAAAACAATAATGAAAAATAAATGCAAAGAAATTCAAAAAAGGCAAGATACACTGGCATCATGAGAGCTAATAGACTGAAATGGTTGGGGCATATTGAAAAAATGTCAGATGACAGAGAAGTAAAACCCGTATTAACAAGGGGGATGAATGGTCCTAGACCACGAGTCTGACCAAGAAAATGATGGGGAGATAATATCCAGACAGAGCTGCAAACACTTGGTGTCACCAACTGGAAAGAGAAGGCCAACCCTGAGAGATGAATGGAGGCGGGTGATATCTGCAGCAATGAACCTCTAGGGCTTGGAATGTTGAAGAAGAAGATACACCGTGCTAGTAGCCACTGGAAAAGGTGGATTTCTCAAGTATACTCTGAACATATATCAAAAGTAACAGAATATGCTGTGCAGGGAAATCAAGGAGTTAGCCTCATTCCATCAGGCCTCACTTGGTACTGATATCGTTAATCTCTGATCCCCAGAGACATACTTGTGTATCATCAACAGTAAATAAAACATAGTTATCACCCCTATGTGTTACCGTACGGTGCCTGGTGTCATAAAGAGTAGGACCAATGCAGCATGTTATAAGAGGCAAATAAGAGGGGTTGAACGTGGGGCCAGCAACCCCACACTCAAAAAATAAAAGATATCCACTACAGAAACAGAGACAAACATAAATATGACAGTTTGTCTCTGCCTTTTGTGCCTCTGGGTGCGATGAGAACTGACTGATCACCCCTATATACATCCAGGCTTTTGTACTTACATAAAAGCACACATGTGGTCTTTTAATCAGGTTTCAGCTGGGACTGTTGGTATGTCAACTATTTGTTGGTTACTGAAAAATGTTCTGAGCACAGCGATGTCAATTTTTGATTCATTCATTCACTTTCAAAGCTTTCTTTGCTGCTGACCATATCAAAACAAGACATAATAGCAAATCTTGTGAAAAAGAAAACAATGCTGCATTATCTGAAACATTCACAAGCACATTCATGTAAAATGTTCTGCATACCTACACTGTACCACACTGCAGAAGCCGTCTTTCTCCAAGCATACAACCTTTGTAAACTTAATGACTAGCCTTTACTTTTGCTCCTGCTTTGTCAGTTTAGCAGCAGCTTTTGCCCTAGACCCTTGAAGCCTTTCAAATGTCTTTTTCTGAAACTTTCTCTCTTTTTCTTTGAAATACTCAGTTTTGTTAACCTGCCATTGCATTGCTTTAGTGATATCTATCTGGTCTGGAATCATCACATAATGAATGAATCGCCCTTTACAATAAAACTTGGGGAAGAAACGCTGCTCTCCTTTGACAGTTGTAAGAGTGACATCTGACATGTTCAGATTCATTGCTGACTCACAAAAATCCAGTTTTCCCTTCAATACCATATCATTTCTCAATTCAACTGTCACCTCCATTCCCTCCAGGGCTTTTAAAAGACAAACCATGGAGTTGTAGAAGTAATGTTTTGACCGTGCGCTTATGAGCTCCATTGCTGACCAGAAGGGACTGTTCCGATGAGTCTTGGAAATAGAACCTGAGTGAGAAATTAAAATGCAAAACTATAACGTCTGATGGCCAAAATCAAAGGAACAAATTTATGTAAATTTAAGAATCATTTGATTGAACTTGTTCTGCTGTATAATTAGAAAGAGACAAACACTGTTCTTTGGCCACATAATGAGAAGAGAGAGACATTGGAGAATATCATGACAACTGGAAAGATCAGTGGAAAAAGAGGTAGACGCAGACCAAGAGAGATAATGCTGGATGGGCTGACACGATAGCATGGGGGGATATCATCAAGAGAGCTGTTCCAGTCAACCAGGGTTTGTGATCTGTGGAGACGCATGAGCGCCTATGCCAGTTGGCAGGGCATATGATGATGATGATGAAAGAATCATATCTGATGATTTCCCTGTATGGGTTCTGGGGTCCCATTTTGGGAGGAACAAGACAAAACCCACTGTCTCCTTAACAAGCATGTTGAAGAAGGGGACTAATTGACGAGTGTCCTTCGAAGTCTGAGTGCATCTGAGAAGTGAGGAGACAGCAGTCTGCACAAATACGAGCCAGATCTGTAAAATGGTGGGCAAGCAAACCTCAAGTCCTTGAATAAGACCTTGGTCCAGAAGAGGATGAACAACCAGAAATTTCCAAGGGAGTTAACAGCTGGTAAACATTAAGTAAAAATAAACATATTCCATGACACAGTATTACTAATAAACTACAAACATTAATAAACTGGTGCCTGCGCAATACACAGGGACCAAGGCTGGCTGGTTTCTGTGGCTTCCGTTTATACAGGACGAGGTAGCCAATCCTCTTCCCAGCCCTACCCTTATTCGCCTCTTACGACATGCTATTCTTTGCTTAAAATGAGAGCCCTGGTGACATATGGGCCAAGAGTATTTAGCACCTGCCAAATTCTGATGGTAAATGCAAGTAAAGTAACAAACTGTTTGCTGCAATTCAGGCAAATGATATTTTTTACACTGGCACTTACACCAGCCGCCTTTACTTCCAAAAGATTTTCTGAAACCCAGTTCAGGGTGGGTTGACATGACAGCCTAGAGGAAATATGCACCGAAACTTCTTATTATTATAATTGTTATTTTGCAGGAGTCGTCGAGGCGTAGAAGGTCATGGGTTTGAGTTCTGATGGTACCTGACTTAATTTAAAAAATAACCAGGTCAACAAAGACCTTGAATGGGTAACAGGAGAAGTCCAGGGAAGTAAAAGCAGCCGGCATGATGATGACCTCATCATTCATTGAGTGCCAATTGGTCTACAAAACACAGGTCTAGCATTACATGCAAAAAACACCTGAAGGGGTCTTTTACTTCACTTATTATTTTGCAGTGCCCCCCCCCTCCCCCTTTCTAATTACACTTTGTTTTTATTGTTTTAAAGTTTTACCCCCTCCAGATTTGCATTCTATAAGATTAACATTACAAGATAAGATATTCACAGGTACAAATCCCAGAAACTCCTTACAACCATATAGCCATGCAGCACAATTACATTAGGTCACCATGAAATGGTGCAAAGTAACTGCAGTCCAGTGTGGGTGGTAAAAAAAATGTATCATTTGTGGTGTACATCTAAACTGCATTATCTGCTCATTAAGTCACATTCTATAACAGCAAATTCGGGTATCCTCAGAAAAACTGTCTTAAATTATGGATGCCAAGAATATACCCTAACAGGGCCTCAGTCACATGTAAATTGCGGACCTCTTCCGGCGACTACACAGCATACTGCGAAAAAGCTTCCACTAAGTTAAAGTCACTGCCGAGAGTATTTCCCGTACCGCTGTGCACGGCGAGGAGAGGGACTAAACTAGATGGCTGGGCCTCACGAGCAGCAGCTAACGCATCTCATGCAGCTTCCTCCATTTTATTTGCTCGTGAGTCCCAGCCATCTAGTTTAGCCCCGCTCTGCATAGCGGCACGAGAGATACTCTCTGCGGTATGTTGTGTAGTCGCCGGAAGACGTCCGCAATTTACACGTAACTGAGGCCCTATTAGGGTACATTTTCGGCCTCAAATATTTGGGACCGTTATTCGGAGGATAGCCGCAATTTCTTAAATAGTCATCAGTTATGACAAGCTTGTTAAGAAGCAGTGAGACTTACAGACCAGAGAGTGACAGCATAAATTAACTCAACAGGAAAGAACAAACAACAATTTTTAGACTTAGGACTGGACACTGTGGTCTTCGAGCACACCTGTACAGGATAGGCATAAAAGAATCTGCTGCCTGTGATTGTGGAGCAGAAAGACAGACCCCTGGGCACATACTACAGTACTGCCCTTACCTCTCCCAGCAAAGACTGTGGATCTGGCCCAAGGGAGCCACATTGAAAGAGAAGCTATGGGGGACCGGTGGCGACTTTAAACGCACAATCCTATTGGTGACCCAGACAGGACTCAATGTTTAGCATGACTGATGTCGAACGCAGAAAAAGAAGAAGTGAGACTTATGTATCACGGAGAAAGTTATCTGATGACAACAAAAATTATCACAAAACTAAAGACCAAAATTACAACCTTCTGTTTAGATTAAGAGGATAATCTTTAAAAAAAAAAAAAAAAGAATGAATAAAACTCTTGTACATTTTCCTGCCATCCCATAACTAGGTCAGGCATAACCATTTGTGACTTACTGATTTCCTCTTGTATATAACTTTGTAGTGGGTACTTCTAATTTTTTTCCTAGAAACATAACAAAAAGCCTGGTAGTAGTGTTGCTGAAGCGGTACTGTTAGTAGCAACAGTAGTAGTTTAAATTAAAGTTAAAGACTGAATGTAATTAAAAATAATGGCTTTCCTCCGAATAACGGGCACTAAAGATGGTGGCCACAAAATATCGTTTCGAGCCTCAGTCACGTGACTTAATTTGCGGTTTTCCAGTGACTACCGCCACGAGTCCCCCACGCGGCGTGGATTGGGGCTAAACTAGATGGCTAGGACTCACGAGCAAAGCTGCAGGAGATGCGGAAGCTGCTGTTTGTGGGTCCTAGCCATCTAGTTTAGCCCCAATCCACGCCACGCGAGCATCGTGGGGGACTCCTGGCGGTAGTCGCCAGAAAACCGCAAATTAAGTCGCAGGAAGAGCGCAATTGACACGTGACTGAGGCTCGAAAGGATATTTTGCGGCCGCTATCTTCAGTGCCCATTATTCGGAGGATAGCCCAAAAAATAATAATGCTGCGCTGCTGGGTGAAAAAACGGCTCTCCTGTCAACTATGGCCGGTAGACAACAGTAGACGGCCGGTTAGTCGGAGTTCTGTCCCTTGGCTAGATAATTCTATTATTTCTATCTAATTGTTGCCGACATCGGCATTTTCAGTGGGGTGAATGCTGTGATGTCGATTATTAATTCAACATTTAAAGCAAAAACTCGAGTGTGTGTGTGCTGTGTTGTTTGTGTGTGGTTGGGGGGGGGGGGGGGCAAAGTGGAAAAAAAAAAAAAAAAAAAAAAGAAAAAAATCGTAATTTCTTAGCGACTATGGTGTTCGGCAACTGGCGGTCTTTTGGCAATTTCCGTTACCATGGAAACCGTTCGAAACTTGCTCGAAATGTTGGCTGGGGTTTCGGGATGGGTCCTAATCTCTCATGAAATTTTGCGGTTGGTGTGATTTTCACCCACTATAAAAAGCTGAAAACGGCGGGAAGGAACCCGATTAACAGCGCATGTCTACGACAGCACAGCCAGACGTCCTCTGTTTTTCTGTTACATCAGTTTGATCGAAAATAGCGATAAGTATTCAGGGTTGGCTTTAGGCTTTAACTGTTATTGTACCTGGTAATGCTAGTTATAATTGAATTCTCCGTCCTTCTTCTTCTTCTTTCGTTCGCCTGAAATAAGTTATCTATATCAGCAGTTTTGTCTCTTGTATAAATTTCACTGTCGTTGTTAGTTCATTCAGTGGTCCATAGAGTTTACGTTCCACTGTTGTTCTTTCTGGCCAAAAGGTTTGCCTTAATGTGTCAAATTCGGTGCAGTCCTGGAGTACATGCTCTGCGGTCTGGGGCACATTTCCACAGGTGCACATGGCTGATACACCTATCTTGAATTTTGTGAACATGTGGTTACGTAATCGGTTGTGCCCTGTTCTGAGGCGGAAGATAATGACTTGTTCTGGTCTGTCCATAATAAAATAGTCGTCTTGTGCTGGGGCTGGTGGTTTCCTGATCGATTTAATGATTCTTTTTCTTTTGGTGGTATGTGACTGGTACATCTGGCTGCTCTTTTTTCGCACCTTCCCCTGCCAGTTGATCAGCTTTCTCATTTCCAGGCACTCCACAATGAGACGGTATCCACTGCATTACGACTCTTCGCTGAACGCTGAGTTGTGTCAGCAGTGTTTGCAATTCTGGTAGTTTCCTAGACTGGAGTGCTTCAAGTACTGATTTAGCATCTGTAAGCATTACCACATACTGTGAGCCAAGGTTGGTATTTAGCAGTTTCTCTGTAGCTATCTTAATAGCCTGGGTTTCTGCATCGTAGTTATGGCAGTACTTCCCGGTTGGTACGCTGGACTTATCCCTAGTACCATCTGGGAATTCGATGTACACTCCAGCACCACCATTTCTAACTGCACTTTCTGCGGACCCATCTGTATAGACTCTGACCCATTGTTCTTGTGGGTATTCTTCATCAATATAACTGAGGGTGGCCATTTTGCGTTGTACACTATCTTGCTCTTTCTTGTCAAATATCCCTTTCACATTTGTCTGGATTTGTACCGTTAGTTTACATTTTTCTCTCCATGGGGTTTGTTCCGGAATACTTTTTAGTGGGCAGCCAATTTCTGGAAGGTCAGGAGTTTGTCTACATATTCTTTTTGCTTGGTGTATAAAGCTGCTTCTTTTTAACCGTCCCAAGGCTAGGTTCTTAAATCTATTTTCCATCGGGTGATCTGGCATACTGAGGAACTTTTCAGCTTGTATTTGCAACTTTGTATCTCTGCGTTCTCTCAGTGCC